GATGCTACTGGAGGCTCCGATTGCTGTTGTTGCTGCGGTTGCATGCTGAGCTGTGCCATGGCACTATGTAGCGATTGGGAGTTGGGCGAGGCCTGTGCCTTGTAGGCGGGCGGAGCGATGTGCTGCTGTTGCTGCTGATATATGGGATTTGTATAACCCGCGCCATTGGGATCATAGTATTGCTGGTGCTGTAGGCTGTAGGGCGGCGGCGGCTCATTGGGTGGCGGTGCGGTGGCGTAGGCCGAGCAGGCCGCCTGTGTCGGGTTCTCCGAGCCAACGGGCACCGGGCGCACCGTGGGCACATAGGGCGTGGCATCGAGAGTGCCTGGGACGGCGCCCAAACCACTCTGCTTGGCTTTCAGATAATCACGCAGTTTGGGTGCCCCGCTGGATGGCGTGGGCGTAATTTCWGGCTTGCTCGGAGCTGGCGCCTTGACACTCTGCAGGCGYTGCTGCCGTTCCTCGGACTGCACATCCCGGGCGGACTTGAAGCGTGTCAGAAGTTTTTGGACATTGCCTGCCAACTTCTTATAGAACTCCAGRCCCTTGGCCGACTTSGCCAGCAGATCCTCGTAGACATCATAGGAGGCRGCGAGTGAGCTGTAGAAATGTTCCCGTTTCTGCTTCACGTCCTGCAGCGTCTTCAGCACGGGCGCGGCACGCGCATAGGCCTCGGTGAGAGCTTGCAGTATGTTCTGCTGGGCCAGCATATTCTGATCGAGCAGCTGGGTGAGGCGATCGTGCTTGGCCAGCTCCGTGGCAAAGAGCGCCTGCAGACCCTCCTGGCCGCCATGGGCAATCACCTTTGTGGTGATGTCATCCTCGTTGATGGCAATGCGCAAATCCGCATGGAATTGGGCGCGTTGCGCCTTCATCTCGTTCACCTTGTTCACGATCAGCTTCACGTCCTTGAAGATCTCCGTGGTGTTCAGCTCCGAGCTAAGCTTCGGCATCAGCTGTTGTATTTCCTGCAACGGCCGTGCCAAGATCTTCAGGTTATT